GATGAAGTTACCTCTAGTGACCTCCGTGAAGAAAAGAGTTCCGATTTCTATAAAACTTGCCTCGTAGATGTAATTCCAATGGCAATAAAACAGCGAAAACGGATAAGCAAACTTTTGAGGCCAGTTTCTTTTCATAAAAAATGTTACATCCAACTTTGTGTAAGGCTGTAATGCTACTTTATGTCCAATTCTTATTTATTTAAATATAAACGTTACTATATTATATTTTCACTTCTTTTTTGTTCCGCTAAATGTGCCGGTGTGTGTCTGTAATAAAAAACCAGCCTCTCGCACATTAATTTCGTAATAATTGGTTCTTAACCGGATGAGCCGGTATCTTCTACGTTCCAGTCCAAACAATTTTAAAGTATAGTGACATACATGTCAATACAAATCATGGAAATATGAATATGATCATCATGATTCAATATAATGCTTATGTAAGTAATGAAAAAAACATTTTTTATTATTTCTTTTTAATTTATGTAACAATCACACCCAAATTTACGAGAGAAATAAATTTATGCCATACAAATATTTCTCCCGGCCCGGGAGTCGGACCTGGAACCTCTGCGTGGCAGACCAGCATCACCACAGTTCGACCACGGAGGCAGTCTGACCAAGGACCAATGAAATATACGCAAACTGTTAGAAGCTGTCGCCTTGAAATTCATCTTCCGTTCAAGGTCGTTTTCGTATTTGATGTTCATCGGCTTCATCAATTGCATCTACAATTCGCGTGAGTTTTTCTTGAGATGTGCTATACAGTTATTGCATGAATTTTTGTAGGTTCTGCTTCGAATAATCCGTCCCAGTCGAGAGTATCCCTACGGTTTATCAACAGAAATGTAAACGAGGTGCCAGTGCCATCTTCTTGTTCCCTGATGGACAACGATGAGTTTATAAGGTCCTCCATAGGATGCTGATATTTTATCTTCATCACTATCTCCATAGGCACCGAGTCTAGATATTATTTTCACGTTTTCATTGTCATCTTCAGGTCTCCCTCCAGTTTCTGTTCCGTTGAAGTAACTTCTAAGTCTTATATGTCGCTATCTGACTCGCATGCCGCTGTCATCTGCAAGTTCGATAATCCCCTCTGGTCCAGGACATAATTGGTTAGCTGGTCTTGCCTGAACTTGGCCCAGTTGGTCTTCGTTTCTATCGTTTACTTCGGCGTGTATTATGTGGTCGCATCTTGTCTTCCACGTTTTATTCTTGTAGTACTCATTCACTAGACAGGTGACTAGCTTTTTCACTTCTTTTCAATGTCTTCGTACAGTCAAGAGCACATCAAGCTTGACACGTTGTACTTTGGACCGTTCTTATCTTATCGGAGTTGGATTTAAGTCTTAAGTGTAAAGCTTGACGTGTTCTTGACCCTGTACGTTATAATGTGACAGAAAGACAAATGCTTGTTTTTTATTTATTTATTTTTCAAAAAGTTATACATTTTACAACAGTCTATCTACCGCCAAACTGGAAACAGTTTGTTGGCGAGCACGCTCTCACACAGTTAAAGTTATACTTAATGATTAAATAAGTACCTAGCAGTGCGAAGGTACTTCTCATGTAGGTCAAACTTACTAATTTAACAAAACAACAATAACAAATTACAATAATATATAAGAAATGCAAGTTCTCAAATCAGAATTTCATTCAATAGCGCCTTTTTTATTTGAACTTTTATAATTTGCTTACTAGTTGTAGGACTTTTACCTAAGAACCCCATATTATATATACGAGGTACTACATATTTATTTAGCATCCGTTCATAGTAATTCATAGCCTTAGGTTATACGAACTCATTTTCACGAGCCCTTTTGTCTTATATTTATTGGAAACTAGTATTTTAAATTCATTACTACAATAATTATCTAATGCAATTTGGTATTTCAATTGCAAATGGGCTGGAAGTATTTTAAGAAAATAATATAATTTATTATAATCACCCTTACAATCGCGTTTTATTTTATTGTTTACCAAATATTTAATTAATCTTGTTTGTAGGCTCTTGACTTTGTCCGGGTAGGGTCTTTCTTCACCTTTTTATACGTGCTTTCATCCGATAGTAAGGCAGTTATTTTGCTGTTACAATCTGACGTATTCATGACCATCGTCGCGTTACCTTTATCTGCACGGAGGATGACTAATTCAGGATCTTCGCGGAAGGTCTCGTATTGCCTATTAATCTTCCTTTCTCATGTTGTTTTTAACTAGACAATCCTTCGTATGGAACACGACCACTGCGTAATTCAAACCCTTTTGCAAAACTGAATAAGCAGAAATCATCAATGCATCAATATTAGACATAACTGGTTGAAGACTGAACCACCTCAGTCAACCGTGACCATGGGACCTGCAAACGGCATCGGTATGTTTGAAAAAACAAATATACGCGATTTAAATCCGCAAAAATAGTTTCATTTTCTATGTGTAGCAATCGTGAAAACCTAAGAACTCGATTTTTACACCATAGTTTATTAAAGAATCTCCCAACGGATAATACACCATGAGCAATGTTGGCTTATTCAATACATTCTTTACCTGGTAGAACTTTCCTTTTTTAACTCCAGTTGAAATTCGTATCAACCCATAATCCTAAATACTTATATTGCTTGACATTCTTCAATGGTTCGCATTTACAGCCGGCCCTAACAGCATGCAAGCATTCATAGGTGTGTCCAATAACGCCAAAGTTGTCATAATTTAAGTTTTTTTTTGCCCTTTCGTTATACGGAGAATGTATATGCAAACACTTAGTTTTTTCTAGGTTTATGATTATGCCGTTGTCATGTGTCAATTTTGTGATATTCTCAAAATCATTTTGTATTTTATTACGAGCATCGTTTAGGTTTTTCGCCGGTTGTGTTGTGATGTTATCTGAAGACGGGTCGAGTTCGAATAACTCCTGTCCGCTTCTGCTCTCTTTTTATACCCCTGCGAAAACCTTGTACTTTATTTATGTGTCTGTTTAACTTACACGTAAATTTTAAAATAAATAAATTATAAATGTATTAACTTAGAATAATAACGCATAGAAACCTAGTCCGCACACGCTAAGTGAGGCAAATTGAAGCGCGCCCAATGGGCCTACACGAGCGGGCGGGCCTTCAGTGCTCAAGGTCAACTTGCACCGCGAACAGCTCAAGAATTTTAGCTAAAAATGGCGAAATGTGCGGTAAATGAGTGTAAAAATACGTCACACAAACATAAAATAGATACTAACATCACATTCCACAAGGAAGTAATACGTTTCAATTTGTATTTTTATATAAATATTCACTAAAACCGAAAATTAACCTACTACTAAAACTAGCCTACATGAATTTGATTTTTGCCTCACTTGTGACGGTTCGTTTGATATGAAACTATCATTCTATGCGTTATTATTCTAAGTGTATTAATTAATTTTTAATTTGAATAAAATATTCAATACTCAATACTCAATACTCAATATATTTATTGCATTCATATGGTAAACATGTCTTAAATTTAAAATAATGCTACACATATGAGCCCTTTATTAGGGATAACAATAACAGCAGAGGTAGGCCGAGGTTACAATTATTAATTAAAATTGTTATTTATCAAATAATAATATTAAACAAAAAAAAAGAAAATGTCATATAATAATAAAGAAATACGTCATATTATGAGTAGAATTATGTCACTTGAAAGTTTGAATTTAATTAGATTACAGTAGCATAACTTTATAGTACATAATTAACATTTATTTATTATTCAAATTTATTATAATATTATTATTTTTATTTGTCATCAAAGTATTCATTTAAATTGTAATAACATTTATTAATAAGATGTAATTTTAATTTATTTAGAAACAGTGAATACTTTTCCTCGTTTTTAATATTAGGCGGGAGCTCATTGAATATCCTCACCGACATCGAATGGGGACTTGAGCTGTGTATGTGTAGCCGAGATCGTGGCAGAAGCAATCTATTGCGTGGTCTAAAAGTGTGTCGTTGAGGCAGGTCGTCAGTGTTAGTGTAAAAGTCAGGGTGTTGTTTAATAAATTTACAAATTTCTAAAATATATATAGAACACAAATTTAATTTTAACTTTACAATCTTTGGCTTTGATATCAAGACTTAAAATCCTTAGACTCAACTCACACTGGCGCAGAGTCGAAGCGTCGCGACGAGAGATGAATATAGGCGAAAAACAAGACACGTATTACAGTACACTAATACAAAGATCAAACAAATACCTACAAAATCTGCAAATCTGCAAATCTGTAGATCAAATGTATACGTAACATCTACACCATTTCTACAAATGGTTTTTCTACAAATTTCTACAGTTTTTGAACATCTTTACACGTCACATAATCTGTACGTTTGTTTTTATTTAATGTGTTAATAACTAATTTAAACTAATTTAAAGTATTGTTTTTTTTTTAGATTTAAAGATTTAATTTTATATAATTATATAAATACATGTTATCGATTATATATTCTATCATATATCATTAGTTATATCTTAAGTATATGTCACTAATATATGTTTTATTATTGTTTGTAATATATGTATAACCACGACAAATAAGTTATTGTAGACTTTAATTTAAACCTTAATTAAAAATTAATTTAAAATTGTATAAGCTCACTACTAATTTTGTTTTGTTCTGTTCGTTTATAAGGCTTCAAAATTTATGTCATTGTGGATAACTATTTTGGCCTAAGTTATTTAAGACAAATATTGTTTGTTGTAAGACGTATTTAAGTTGGCTGTTGTTATTCCTTAATAAAAAAAATAAAAAAAAATAAAAAAAAAATTACTTTCTACAAACAAAAGCTGGTTCAAGTCCACCCGAATCGAAGAAATTTTTCTTTGTGTTTGTTCGATATTTGTATCAAAAATAATAACAAACAAGTTCAGTATTTTCACATGAAATATATGAATATCATGGAAGTAAAAACATCATGATATTCAATAAAATAAATATCCTTACAGTGTACTTAAATGCATCGCGTCTCTCAAGACTCACTTAATTCGTTAGATAATACACTAGAGTCAATGAAGTCCTTTTGAACAACAGGCGTAACAGCGCCATATGGTCCAAAGTCATTAGCGACATCCATTGGCACCCGCTGATTTTTCTCGAGTTGAGATCGTCCTCGTCGCGGCAGCGCAGATCGCAATCTTTCCCAGAACCACGGATCGTTCGTCTCTAAATACGTGTTGGTCCGGAGATAGTTCTTCAGCTCAGGGTCCAATTGCTCCTCCTTCACAACATCATCCAACACCACAACGATCAACCTCGCCTTACCCTCATGAAGCATACTGGCATGTGCCATGCGGAACTCCAGCATCCCCCACAAGGACTTCACAAACTTTCTGGACAGAACTATCAACGTACGCCGCGAGACTTCTATTGATACCGAAATTTGCTTCGGAATCCACTCTCCAATAATCCAATTTCGCATGTGAACACACGCTTTATAGTTTTCCTTTTCTAACATCGGCAGTAACTTATTCAAGACGTAGTCTTCATCTTCGTGGGAGAAAGAGATAAAAATGTCAAAAGGACGGTTCTCGTCCAACAGCTCTTCTTTCAAACAGAATAGACACAAACCTCTAGTATATAAGATGTTCTTAATGGCTTCTCCATATCGTAAATATACAGGAACAGCTAAGACGGTCAAGACTACGACAGCGAGTAAGATTGGGAGTAAGATATGGATAAGTGCTAATTGTGGCTGTTCTTCAATAACACAGAACGCAGAGGCAGTAAAATTACTTATTAAAGTGCCGTCTTCTTTGCAGACGAGTTTGTTGTAGTCATCCACCTGAAAGAAAACACGGTTGCAGATTTCAAATATTGAGTTAATTTCTGATTTCACCCTATAGTTCCACTAAGATCTACATCCAAAGAAAACTAAATAACTTGACATTAAAACATATGCCTAATATTCACAGCCGTGTAGCTAGCTTACCATTAGGCGAATGACTTTGTCGTCCCACTACTTAGTTTTTTAATTACAAGTATTTTAATGAATCTAAGTATGTATCCACGATATAAAGGTAGTGTATTTAGAAATTCAGCAAGGTGGGCTTTATTGGTGGGCTAATTTGTAGCCGAGTACTTTTGAAAAAAAATTATCAACCTGGAATCCCGAGTTGTTATAAAAAAACTACAACATATAGACACTTGTGAATTCGTTACCTATATTAAACTAATGCAATAGTTACAGATTCCATTCCATTCCAGAAAATTTTGAACTACGACATGGTAGAAAATAATTTACCTGCTCCTTATTTTCATTTAAGATACTAAGAAAACCCTGGTTCTGACAGTCGCACATAAAGCTGTTACCAGCTAGCTTAATGCGTCTCTCTTTTGACGAGAACAGCGCGGTTGCTGTCATGCTGTCGATGTAAGAGATGCGATTGAAACTTAAGTCTAAGAACTGAAATCAAACAATTAGTAAGTTAATAAAAACAAGAACTCCATAGAAGTCTCATACGTTTTACGAGTTCATACGTGTGCCAGTGTTGATTGCGTTCTATTTCTCTCGGCTCATTAGATTCTCAATATTTACCTTTAAGATCATCAAAAACATCAATGTGTTGTGTTATTTAATAACGCACACACTCAATATTTATGAAAGATCTTTTAAGAATCGATAGTAAATAACAAATATCCACTCACATTTTTAGGATTCTAACATGCAATTAATTGATTGAATATTATCAGTTGGAAAAAACTAATTGATAAAATACAAACCTTTAGTTTGTCGGGTATGCCGTTGGCGGTGAATTCCTTGATACGATTTCCTTGTAGATGCAATTCACGTAGACTTAATTCGCGTGGCTGATCCATAATTCTGTTCTGTGCACGAAAATAATATTGGAAATTAAAGACATACTTGTGAAATACAATAATTTGTCAGGGTAGTAGACTAGAACCAAATTTATTTCACTCGTAAAGAATCATGAATAATACAAACAGCGTGACCAACTACAGGGCGAAATACCGAGTATCCAGGTCACTCCCCGAAGTCTTCAGCAAACCTAGGAGGTTGCTGAGATTCCTACCTATAGGAGCTTAGGTGGTACAAGTAGGACCCTGCACCCACTACACGCAAAATAGGCGCCTGGTATTGAGTTGCCGATACCAACCCGTCACACCATACCATACCATACTTATACTATACCATTCCATACTATATCACACCATAAATTACAAGCAGCAAGGAAGTGAAGTATCAAGCCATACACGCTCTGCAGTATATGGGGTTTCGTAAGGAAGATGTATTATGCTAAAGTTACACAGTTGGTTGGGACTTTTTGGTACATCACCATGCTTTAGAATTTCATGTACCTAAGATTAAGAAGTTACGAACCTAACTGGGTCTGACAGTTTAATAAGGATAGTACCTGTAGTAATTTGTTGTAGTCAGCATGCTCAAACGACACTCGTTCAATGGCGTTGTGATTTAAACGAAGCTCTAGTTGGCTGGTGTTGAATCTAGGTAACCCTGTGAACTATCAAAAGGATATTGTGCAAGTAGATTAATGAAAGACAAATCCTTGAAAAGACCGAGTAAAAGGTATTCGGAACAAAAGGGCCTATATGAAAGAGCTAAGTAAAACCCTCCACCAATGCATAACCCTATTAACAAATCACGAATCAAGACAAGCTCAGAGTCGTTTACACCCTTTAAAGACAGCAATGGCGATGCCCGTTCTTACAGACATTGATATGGATAAATAGATACGAATAAAGAAGGCTAATTAATTATTTGCTGCTTTGTAATAAATGGAATTTTGTATACCTAGCCTAATCAAGTGAGAGGTAGGTGCGGTGATGTATCCATATTTAAAACAGTCAGTCCAATACAACTTTGATACTGTCTTTAACACTGAACGAAATACATCTGTAAAATGACGTATGCTTATCTTGTCCAAAGAGTCACCAATGTTGAGATCCAAAGGGTCATCAAAGGGGAAAAAAGGCGGAAATACTAGGAACTGTAAAGGAAAGGAAGTTATAATTTTGGCCACGTAATGAGGAGACAATAGATATCGGATTCTTCGACTAATAATGCAATGGAAGATCCAAGGAGAGCGTAATCGTGGCAGACAGAAAACCTCTTGGTTGAAGAATTTGGGAGACTGGTTCAATCTTACCACACGGCAGCTTCAAAAATGGAAATAGCCACGATGGTCGCCAACCTTTGCAGAGAAACAGCACACTAAGAAGTAGAAAGTGAAATGATACTTACATCTAAAGCGTTGATTTTGCAACTTGACAAGTCAAGAAGTACAAGTGATACACTTTGTAAGTTTTGAAAACACATGCTAGTGGTTGCAGTATGGGTCGCCACTAATCTTTTTAAATTAGGCATCCATAATTCCCAAGGGTCATCATCTGATGGTTGTGCTGAAATAACAACTAGATTTAAAAAAAAAAGCTTTAGGACTAAAAAAAGATTTAGGACCGTATCTAAAGTGGGCTGCAACTCATAACAGGATGGAGGAGAGATTCAAAGGCTGGCATTTTCCTTGCATTGCATTTGCATAGATATACAGATGAGTGGGTTTTGGGCTCGGTTGAATCCTAGTTTATTTCTTATCGTAAGTCATCATTCATGCTATTGATCAACGTCATCCAGATTTCAGAGCTACAATCTGTAGTGAGGAGGTTAGCAGTTCTCTCGAGTTATCGGTTCATATTTTGATAAAAGCTCACCTGTGCAGAGGTCCAACCTTGGGTTATTGGATAAAGTGGCGTTCGTGAGAAGCCGTACATGTAGCAACATCTTACCAATGGGAAAAACGTTCCATAAATCATTGTCCGAGAACTCTATGTCTGCTACTAGCGGAAAACTTTCATTTCTGAAAATAATTTTGTTTTTGCTAAAGCCTTTTTACACTTGGTAAAATAAAACCACGTCAGATCATATGTAAAAATGGTATCATCGTTATAAAAATAATACAAAGTAAACTTTCCAATTTAAACATAAAAAAGTTATCGACTAATTTCGTTCGTAGAATCTTTAAACCTCTCTTCTAAAAAGTTGTCATTTTGCAGATGTGACCTTGTGACTTGTACTTGTACACTACAAAATAGCCTGGATAGCAGTAATATAGCCTGGTCCAAGGGTATTAATAGCCTCCGCAGCCCCCGCAGCCATACGTCTTACTTAGCGAGTTTTAGCAGTTGAAAAGACGAAAGTCCGGTTTATAGGAATTTATTCAGTACAATTAATATCTTAAAATGTAAACGGTTCAAAAATAAGAAAGTAGATGTTTTTGCTACCGCGATCGCGCAGAGAGTCACCGTGGTACGAAGCAAAAATGAAAAAGCGAAGGAAGATGGAACAATTAAAATTTAAAATTGAAATACAAGCAAAGGAAAAAATGATACGATACAAAAAGGTGGGATGACGGTGTAAGGAGGTCACACCATCACAATCTTATTACCCCAAGGGTGCGAATTACATCGTAACTTAAAGCTGACGAGTCCGTTCATAAGTTTTTTGAATACAAGAGCAAATTTAGAACGCCAGTTAATCAAATATTTTCATGCTAAAGAAAATCCTGGAAGTAAGGTTAAGAGTTGATACTACCTCAGCTACAATTCAAATTTTCCCCGTATTGAATCGGTTTTATTGCGCGGGTCTTAGCAGGGACACTGGCTTTTTTCAGAATTTATTTTTTTACAAACGAAACTACTAGCTAACAGTTCAGTTGATATTAAAAATAATCTCAGTACAGAGTACTAAAAAAACCGACCTCATAAGTACGTGGAATTACGTCTAAGTTTTATTGAAATATCCCCTATTTCGCCACTATACAGGACTTGACACTGGAGATAATAAAAAATCTGTTCTCACTACTCAAAGTATATTGAGAGAGAAACGCCTTGAATTGGAGAAATAGCAAAATCAACCATTAAAGTAATTACTCCTAAATTAATGTTAGGCGCTATTTATGAAAATGAACATGCGTGAACAGCCACCCTTCGAGGTGGATGATTTTCTTCAAAATGAAATGGGACCACTATGGAAGTACCCCCTTTCCAAATAAAAAATCATGAAAATCGGTTCACAAATACCGGAGTTATCGCGTAACATACATACAAAAAAAGAACATACAGTCGAATTGAGAACCTCCTCCTTTTTTGAAGTCGGTTAAAAATCATTGATATATGTAAAGAACCTACTGAATACAGCGGTTTTCTTGTAAAATTTCGAGGTAAGTTTGGGTTTTTTTCTATCGTGAAAATGTTTAGGAATCCTGTTTTCACACCCTGTAGTAATCACAGTACATCCTCAATTATACTATATTTTTTCCAAAGTGATTGCTTCAACACTTTCACTGTTATGCGGTATCAACCAAAGCCATTTGAGCTTGTATCTAATATTAAGCTTCACAAAACTTTTCGCACGCATGGGAGGGCTTTAACACGTCATGGGTCAACGCGTATTAGGTGGAGGCCTTACGAGACAGAGGTACCATTGTGGTCCATTTGACACAAAAAGCCACATTACACTACAAAGTATACCTTACATGACAATTTGTTTTATAGTGGATTTATGAATCTTGATGCTTTCCAAGTAGAATGCGTTGGTGACTGAAATTTCAATGCCATGCCAGGTCTTTGGCAGTTCAGTGATCTCCAATTTACGAAGACTGGTAGCGTTGGCTAACTGAAAATTTCAGAAGAATTAAGTTAGCATAAAAAAATCTGAAATTTAACCGAAAACTTTTGCAAGAATAGTTTCACGATTTTCAATTGCAAGATGAGTAGCGGTATATAGAACTATTCGAGGTCCAAGGATTAGGCATAGACCGCAAAGAACAACTTTTAATCAGTTATATCGTTCATGCTGAAGGTAACCATAAAAATAATTTCTCAAAATTGGATCAATATAGAAAATATGAGGAAAAGATATAAAGCAGACGTGACGACTATTGAAATATGATTAAAACAAACCACTCGAAAAGCAGTTTCGATAGACGTAGGAGCTTCTAACACCAGTTCAGTTAGATTAAGACAGGTGGAGAGCCAGCCTTCGCTCTTCTCGTTCAAGCTGTGTACAGCCCAGTTAATGAGAGCTAGGGACCGGAGATTGCTGCAACCACCGAGAGCGCTGTGTGATATACCACTCTCCAGGGTCATCTGTAATAATATGAAGTTTCTTATGAAAAGAAAAATGTTTCCTCAAATCTACATTTCTACATCTGTCACTACTTGAATTATTAGCTGCAGGTGCCCAAAGGCTGTTCGTTGTAATGTAATACTAGATAAGCTAGAAAGTATTTTGTGATGTATGTATTGGAGAGTAAGATTATTATAAATGCTCTGTGGGTAGGTCATGTATTTTGTTGCTCAGTCGTCAAATAAATATCGTAGTGCGAACACATGTTTTACTGGCTCCTTAACCCAGGTCTTACGTATAGGCTAGATAGTCTAGACTTCTCAGTGGCGACGAGGATGGGATTGAAACGAAGGACGTTTTTCTGCAAGTTTGTTTACTTATCCGTGTTAAACAACATTTATACTTCCATTTGGTAATAAGGTCTATTGATCAATGGTTTTATGACCTTGAACTGGCAGCCAATGTCGTTGACTATTGCCTAAAATAATCTTCTAAGTATGAAACGTGCACAAGTACTGGATGTTTTTAGCAGTTTATCTAATAATATTGGAGGAACTGAATAACAAACAGATTCCAAAGCTTACAATTTCCAGTACAGAGTTGTTTGGTAATGTTGGAAATTCGGCACCGACTAAGTGAAACTCTTTTAATGTCGAAACGTAGTTGGCAACGTCGTCTGGCACTCGTGGTTGTATCAGGGTGTGTTTTGAGTACCTGAAAAAGGACTTTAAGGGTTAGCTTGTCTGTGCACTTTCAATTTTGGGCATTAATGTTATACTTATTAATATCCGACCGAAAAAGCAAGGAGTTTGAATCCTTTGTGTCTCTATCTGTGGCATCATAATAGGCGTACTCAATTAATAATTGCTTGGGGTTAGTGATGTGAATCCAGAACATGCACGTATAATATAAAAAACTTAATGATAGAAAGGTGGTGAGATTTTTAAATTTTGTATGGGCACGACCAGCGCGGTGAACGGTAGGTGAGCCAGAGCGCGATGGTGTTCAATCGAAGGTGAGGCGTGAACAGCGCACAAACGCCTATGAGGGATGCCACACGGGCAACAACGTACTCTTTGTGCCACACGACACGAACAATGCGGTGTCGCAATGTAAACCTTTTAATTACGCATCGCAACATCCCTCCCCGCTTCGTCTCCTGGCCCCTTGTCATTTATATGTATGCGTCTCAACCCAACGTAAAGAATCGTATGTGTCAACGGACAAAGCACGTACAAATTGTTGTTACCTTAATTCAAGATCAATGATCTTAAGTCCATCGAAGAAAAGAGCTTGTAATGGCGGAGATACGCAAAGTTCTGACAGCGCAAATTTAGGTAAATTGTCTACGTCAATATTGAGACCCTTCAACATTCTTTCGTATGTTCCGTGTGGATAAATGCAATGTTTGATAGTCACTTTCTGTAATAAAATCGACAAACACAGAGTTCATTCATCGAAATATGTTGCTGGCTAGGGAACATAAAGACAGTTTGGGATAAAAAGACCATAACGGCCAATTCTACACAAAAATTTGTAGTTGGGTCAAATTTTCAGGCTCTTCCGATCTGCCAGAGCATTGTTTTGTTTATTGACTTTGACCTTTTTGATACTAAGTTACGTGGGGCTGGTGTACACCCAGTACACACCCCAGTTACAATGCCACTCAGAGCTTTAAATCGCAAAGATCTGAGGGGCACTCCCGTCACTCTGAGACATTAAGTTGAGCAGTCCCATGTGCCTGCACCCTTATACTTACCGGCAACTTTGTGAGATCTTCAAAGTCAGGAAATTTGATTTGTTCCAAAAAACTGAATTTCTCGTACGCATTACTCGTACACGAGTACGTGGTACTATTTTCGTCGATAAACATTGTAACATCTATTTGTTCTGAAAAATATCAAATTTAACCATAACACACTCATAATATTGTAACAGAACATACCTTCCACAAAATAAAATAAAAAATGAATTAGCGGAAATTCGATGAGTATAAATATAACAGTAATGAATTATTAGTGAAATAAGTAGGTAAATTTTAAAATAACATCTAAATGTAAATAATCACATTCGAAGAATTTCAATAGCAAATGACTTCTTTGAATTCGTCTCAGTTCACACTTTTGAGCTGCAGGAAACACTTAACAAATAACGTATGCATTATCGGTTTTGCTGAATGTATTTTTGTTAGGGTTGCTAAATTTTGGTGACTAATGAAATTAAATTATTTAATAAAATATATAATAATACTAGTAAATTAAATGCATACTATCATTATTTATGCGAAAGTGTGTTTATGTATATATTACAGATAAACAATATGATAGAGTGAAGTTAGCTTTACTCAAAGGTGTATAATTTAGATTCGCAAAGCATAAAAAAAAAAAAAAACATGATTCTATTTAGTTTTTATACAATGCCTTTTATTATTTATTAATATTTAGTAAAAGAACAACACATGCGAAAGATTCTGCTTGTTTCTGATGAAAATTTATTCCACCAGAACAAATACTACCTATTTTATTATTCCTCTTTTTATTAATAATGATCGAATTAGATATTTTATATATACGTATTGGGTTAATTGTCTATATTAATTATTATTCTATGAAAGCGTTCCACTGCTGAGTCTAGGGTACTCAAT